ATTTCACAAAGATGGTGGTGTGAAGTGCCTAAGACAAGATGACACATGAACTTATTAGCTATGGAAATTAAAGGGAATGACTTAAACATTGTTTAAAAAAAAACTTTAAGATGGGAATAAAAACCACCTCTGGAGGAAGAAGGTGGGGAAGCAATGATTTAATATTACTTTGTGTTCCTATTCTATGGTCTTCCAAAATTGGTGATTTCTGTTCTCTCAGGACAAGAACATCCTGTGATTCCTGTTTTGTTTTTTAAAATTGCAACAAGGTGGGGATTAAAAAGATACTGAAAGACAGATAATGGTCAGTGAATTTTGTCAGTTTAATCCCTATTGATTGCTAGGCCAAGTGCTGGTGGATCATTTCCTGTCTTCTTTCAGAGCCTTACTGAAGGTGGTCTCCAGACCATAAGTCGAGTCATTGGGCTAATGGGGCAACAGCCCAGGGTTTCTGTGTGTAATTGGGCAGCCAGCAGCCACTCACCACAGGGACAACCAGTTGGATGTGGTATTCGAGTATGGGGGCAGGGGAAATAGAAAGTGTTTGGAAAAGCATGGCCTGATTTTTTTAAATTAAATTTCTTTCTTCAGCACGGGTGGTATGAGCTCTTAGTCTAATATTCATTGTGCCTTATATTAGGTACAAAGGAATAAATTACATCTTATTTTATTTTATTTTACCTTTTATTTAAAAATATACTATTATTATGAAATGTTTCACATTTATAGATGAGTTATAGAGGCTACAGTGGTGAGCATCTATATATCTACCTGTCAGATGTATTAAATCTGAATATTTTTGCCATCTTCATGAAATATCTTTAAAGAAACAAAACGTTATAGTTAGAGATGAGGATGGTGGCATCGTGAACTCCCATCCTGCACAAATCTAAACCTCCATAAATGTTTAGCATATTTTTGTAGATTTTGAAACCGTATGTGATTATACCATAAGTGTCTTTCGGTAACTCACTTTTTCTTTGAACGTTATGCTCCTGAGGGCTCTCCATGTTAATTATATGCAGTACTAGTTTATCCATTTTAATAGCTGCAGCTTTTGTTGAAGATGCCACAGTTGATCCAGTTCGCCGATAATGGGGCATTGTATTTGTTTCCCAGCCTTTGCTCTTTCACACAGTGGTATGAAGAACATTCTTGTGCAGGTGTCCTTGTGCACGCATGCAAGTCAAGTTTCCTAGATATTCCAAATTGGTCTATAATGTATCTTTGCCTCAGCTGTGAATGAGAAGTCCTGTTGCCACATCTTCATCGATACTAAGTATTGTCTGACTTCTAAATGTTTGCCAATTTAATGGGTGTAAAATTATATCTTATTGCTGTTTTAATTTGCATTATACATATTGTATATCATTTGTGTGTGTATATTATATATATAGTATATATTGTAACTTTGGGGGCTGAACACTTTTTCAAAAGTTTATTGGCTATTCAAATTTTCTCTTCTATGAATAGCTGCCCATATTCTTTGCCCATTTAAAAAAAATTAGGCCTTTAATCTTCTTTTCCCATCAATTTGTAGGAATGCTCTATGAATTCTGGATACAAATTCTTTCCTGATTGTGTGCTATCTCTCAATCTGAGGCTTGATTTTTGTTGCTGCTGTTGTTTGCAGAAACTTTTCATTATAATGTAATGAAATAGAACAATATGGGTTTTGCCTTGAGTCCTGCTTAAGAAATTCTTTCCTACAGATATTCTTTTACATTTTATCATAAAAATTTGTTGTTGATTTTTGTGTCTATCATGAGGTAGGGATCTAATTTTACTTTATTCCAAATGGATAAACAATAGTCCCAACACATTTATTGACTGGTTCATCCTTTCTTCTTGTAATGCCACTTCTGTCCTCAACACAGTATTATTTTGCTTAAGTATAAGATCTGTGATGGCAGAGACCTTTGTTGTTTTGTTCACTCAGGTATCCCCAGTGTCTGGGACAGTGCCTAACCTAACACAGTAGCCATTTAAATTTATTGATGAATGAATGACAGTGTGAATGGTGTTTCATAAGCAAGCATGATATTTAAACACAGAGCCTTTCATCAGGGGATTTATGGGTATTCATTGTTCTCTCCTCTTTCTGAGAAGCAGTCCATGTCTCTGAAGGGTCACAGATACCTTATAATGCCTCATGTGAGAATAGTAACTACACATATCCCATTTTTTTAAAAAAGGAAAAGTTGGTACATTTCAGTAGTAGATATCACAGAACACATTATATAGGCCTTTAAAAATCAATCTTACATAATAATAATATTCAGGTGTAACTGCGAGAGGGTAAAGGATGAAATTTGGTTTGTTATCTCAAGGTACTTTAAAAAAAATTGAAGTATCATTGGTACACAATCTTACATTGGTTTCAAGTATACAACACAGTGGTTCAACAGTTACCTACATTATTCAGTCACTCAGTGCAGTTGCTATCTGTCAACATAGGAAGATGTTACAGAATCATTGACTATATTCTCCATGCTGTACTACTATCCCCGTGACCAACTTGTATTATAATTGAGAACTTTTGTTCTCCTTTGGGTGGGGAAGGAGGAGGGAGATGTCAAGTGACTTTTACCCCCACCTCCTGTTTCTTTTCTAGGGGATATAATCAAGCATATTATTACAGCAGTTGTCTTGGAAGGAAGAGAAGAATAGGGTAATGAGTGTGTTCCATGACAGCAGTCACAATCCTATAGGAAATTGCTGTATCTTTCATGACATATCTGCCAATCCTTAATGACTTCATTCAGGTCTAAAATTGAAGGTTTTTTAAAGTTTAAACTCTATTTCCTGTGACTTGATAAAGGCTTCCTTTTTGATGTAAAATTGTAGAAAGAAAAAAAAGCAGTGATGGGTTCATATAATGCAATTCATGAGGGAAATCAGAAAGAGAGGTTTGGCATAAATACATTAAACGAAAACTTTAGTTTAGAAAGAGTTGCATTATTTGAACATTTCTACCATGTTCTACAATGATGTCTGAGAAATCAGCACCTCACAAGGAGCTGGGGTCTAACCTCTTAAGCATCACATTTTAAATGGCATTTTGGTGTTGGCCAATGCAATCCCTCCATTTCCCCTGGGTCCACATTGATGTACAGCCCTTCATGCACACTGTACCATGAAAGAAGGCACCTGGCTGTGCTGTGGCCAAACCTGATGGTGCCTTATTTGAGGGGCCACCTGTGGAAAGAGGACGGATAGGGAGTGAAGAGCCCTGGGCTCCCACCCTGTTCCCAGGCAATCTGACCCTGTCATGTGTTCACAGGTTTTAAGTCAATAATGAGCAGTTTGCCCATCCTTTGCAGCAAATGACATAATTTGATTCCCGTATCAATTTTCTGAGGCAGGAATCTTCACTTACAGGATGATGTAAGACTTGTGCTTAAGCCTTGCTTAAATCTTAGCCTTTCCAGTGGCCTCTGCAGGAAGGGTCAGGTGTCCCTCCTCTCTCCTAACTGTTCAGATGGTGCTACCTTAATACTCTTATTATGAGTCTTATAAATGTTTGTGCTTTATCTCCTCTGTTAGCTAACTGAGAGGTTTTTGAGAGTAAGTTGGTGTTACTCATTTTTTTATCCATGGGTTTCAGACAGTGTCTGAAGTATAAAAGGAGCAAAGTATATAAAATGAAATGAGGTAAAACCTTGCCTCAGTCTACCGAATCTTTCATCTGGGCTACCCCAAGGTTTCTTGTGATCCAAACTGGTGTTCTATGATGAATCAACTTCCTTTCAATTTGTATGTGTAGTTTTTCATTTTTCTTTCTATCTGCTTCAAAATTTTAAATGTTTATAGAAATGTGTAGAGTCTGTATATATTTAAGTTTTATAGAGTAACAATTTATTTAAGGCTCCTTTTAGCTCTAGCCTGGTCTGACTCATTGACTAAGAATGTCAGGGCAATTTATAGCACAAAAAACAAGTTGTTAAATTCCAAGTGATAATATCAAATGACACGGTGGAAATTGTAAATTTAGCAATATATCAGAATTTATAATCAGAGCTAAGACCCATCTGAACAACGTGAATTTTTATGACCATCTCTTGCACATGTCTTAGATCAGTTTTCCAAATACAAATCGTCCAGGGGTGAATTCTACTGTGAAGCTGGTTATCAAAATTGGTAGAGTTTGAGATCCCGACTCAGCAGCACTTTACTGAGTCATTCATTGTGATGGGCAAAAATAGTCCCATGGAGTAATGATTTTTTTTGTAGAGGGGCAGCTGGATTAGACGTATATCAGTATATAGGACACTGAAAGGGAAACAGTAAGTAGGATGACATTTAATTTCTCTCTCTCTTTTTTTTTTTTTTTGCTGATGTGATATTTTTGTTGATGGATTATATTTCTGGGGAGAAAGGAGGTTTCTAGATAAGTAGTACTATTCTTTCAAATTGAAAAATATGAAATGTGTAAAGAGTTCCTGGGGACTTGACTGAATAATCAGTTCTAGGAGCTTTGTCTGTCTGTAAGATCCACATTTGCTTCCCTGCAAGAGTGTATTGGTCCTTGGGGCCTACAGGAAGCAAATGTTGACAGCAGCACTTAAATCAGTGTGCCATTCTTTACTGCGGGCATTTTCGCCTTGTAGAGACATCACAGTCATGCTATCGTGCACTTTTTTCCCTCCTTGCAGATTACATTTTCCAGGTGAATAGAACTTGAAGCCCTCAGATGATATAGCATCCCTGTGAGAAATTATTTAGCTAGTACAGAGACCTATTTCCAAACAATTACCAAATAAAGCAGCCTTCAGAGCCTGCCATCATACCACTGTTACACTTCATCAGGCTTGGCCATTCCATTGCCATTTCCTAGGCAGGAAGTGCATCATTTTAAGTGGCATGCCGTGGCCCCTTGTGTCAGACAGACTTTGGGTGTCAGGCCTGAAAAGGTCTTATTTCTATGTTGACAGTGACTCATCTTTCCTATGCCAAACTGCTTTTAATGAGGGAGTGTGAGTGGTTAATACGTGCTGTCTCCCCTTTCTTTCAGAATTTATGAAGCCAAGAACCCTGTAATAGTTTGCTTTGTGGGCACTCACTGAAATACATATTTTGGTAAGTGCTGACACATTTTTTTTAGAGGAATCAGCTGTCTCTTTTTTGCTTACCTAGCCATACTTTCATTTTTAATACTCTGATCACTCTTTCAAATGCCTCAGGGAAGTAAGTTGGTTCAGTGGAAACAGGGAGAGGAATGGATTTATAGAAATGTTTTCTGGGTTGTATTATTTATGAATTTATTGGTGGTATTATTATCTTCCCAATATATGGAGAGTGTCAATATTTTAACTGTCATTTTGATATTTTGTTCCAAGCAGCAAACTAAAAATCAGTTTTGTAAGGAAGGAATGCTTGAAAAAATATCTCCAAAATAGAACATTAGGGAGTCTAGCACTAATTCACTGATATTTATATTGCCACATCAATCATAAAGAAAAACCATAAAAACTTAGCTCATTTGATCAAAATTATATTTGCTTACTAGCCATTTCTTTTCTCTCAACATTCCTTGACAATTTACCAAATTAGTTACTTACTTAGATGAGATGAATGTTAATTTGGTCTCAAAAACGAGTCCTCACTAAGTGAATGAGGTACACCTCTTTGGTAATTCAGAGACACAGCTCATCAAGTTAGTAAACTGAGATGTTGCTTAATACTTGTGAAACTTTCTCAGGGTGGCAGACACTAGTGGGGCCCTTACTGTGAAGAAACTCTGCCATGTTCAGGAAAGACACAGTCAAACAAAAGGAAAACAATGAGAAGAAGTAGTCCTTCCGAGCAGCCTCATGTAAAATGTCAGCGTGTAGACATTTCATTTGATCCTCAAATGTTGTGAGGTAGTATTATTACCATTGTACAGATGATGAAATTGAGGCTCAACGTATGCAAATAATTGGCTGAAGAATAGGAAGAGAAAAAGCATGATTTCTGATACAGAGCCAACATCTGTACTCATTCTTTGCCACATCATGCTTCCAGAACGAATTCCGTACATGGACGGGTAGAACTGCCCTGCAAGAAGCATGGTATTTTACATTCAAAATTTGTTTCTGGTGATATTCTAGATGTCATTCCTTACTCCTCAAGATTTATGTTGAGGTTTCTGTGGGGAAGGAAAGGAGGAAGAAGCTTTTCAAAATGTTTTCTGGGATGTATTATTTATGAACCTATTTGTTGAATTTATTATCTTCCCAATGAGTGGAAAGCTTCAATATCTCAACTGTGTTTTGCATTTTCTTGAGAAAAAGACACTTGACACAATCTTCAATCTTAAACTAGGACCCTAGCCTTTGTTTAATATTCTCCTATAAAACAGTATTCAACCAAAACATGGCTGTGTTAGCCTTTTATTTGATGATACTAGTATGAGTTTCTCCAGTTTGTGAACTAATCTGGCACTTACTTTTGGTATGATTCCTCTGTATTTCGTTGTTAATAACACTTGAAAGTCAAAAATCTTGAAAGTCCTTGATCTGTGGACTGCAGAATGGGTGTTATGTTAGAGGTATGAAAACAGCGTGAATCTCATTGTCCATTCCGAACCCCTGGGTGACCAGGTGCATTATCAGTATTTTGAAAGGAATTCTTATCTGAGGACTAGGTTTCAACAGTGGACTTAAAATGACCAGTAAACCATGTTGTCAATAGATATGCAGTCATTCAGGCATTGTTCCATTTGTAGAGCACAGGCACAGTCTATTTAGCATAATTCTTAAAGTCTCCAGAATTTTTGGAATGGGAAATGAGCACTGGCTTCTACTTAAATTACCAGCTCTCTAACAGGAGAGTCAGCCTATCCTTTGAAGCTTTGAAGCCAGGCATTGACTTCTCCTCTCTAGCTATGAAAGTCCTAGATGGCATCTTCTTCCTGTAGAAGGCTGTTTCATCTACACTGAGAATTTGTTATTTAGTGTGGCCACTTTCATGAATTATCTTAGCTAGATGTTCTAGATGACTTGATTTCTTTCCTTAAACCTCAAAACCAGCTTCTGCTACCTTCTGTCTTTTCTTCTGCAGCTTCCTTATCCCTCTCTGCCTTCATAGGATTGAAGAGAGTTAGGACCTTGCTCTGGATTAGGCTTTGGCGTAAGGGAATGTTGTGGCTGGTCTGGTCTGTATCCAGACCACTAAAACTTTCTCCATATTTGCACTAAGGCTGTTTAGTTTCCTTACCATTCATGTGTTCCTTGGGAAGCATACGTTTAATTTCCTTCAGGGCTTTTCCTTTGCATGCACAACTTGGCTATTTGGCACAAGTGGGCTAGCTGTTGGCCTGTCTCAATTTTTTATGTGTATTCTTCACTAAACATAGTCATTTCTAGCTTTTGATTTGAAGTGTGACTCTTCCTTCCACTTGAACACTTAGAAGCTTTTGTAGGCTTATTAGTTGGCCTAATTTCAATATTATTTTGCTACAAGAAATAGGGAGGCCCAAGGAGAGGGAAATGGGGACCAGCTAGTTGTTGGAGCAGTCAGAGCACATATGACATTTATTGATTTGTTTGCTGTTTTCTATGGGTGCAGTGCATGATGCCCCCAAACAATTCCAATAGTAACACCAAAGATCACTGATCACATCTCACCATAACAAATATAATAATAATGAAAACATTTGAAATATTGCAAGAATTACCAAAATGTGACATAGAGACACCAAGCAAATGCTATTAGAAAAATCATACTGATAGACTTGCTCCATGCAAGTGGGCCACAAAACCTATCTGTAAAAAAAATGCAGTATCTGTGAAGTGCAATAAGAAAGTGAAGCACAACAAAATGAGGTATGTCTGTACTATATAAGATACAATATATCTATCCACATATCTATCTTATATACATTATTGTACAATTTGCTTTTTTGACTTGTTAGTATGTATTAGAGATCTTCTCATGTTAGCGTGTGTGTGTGTTTCTTATCATTCTTTTGAAAAATTTACAAACATGGGTGTATCATAATTTAAACTTTCATTAATGTTTCCATTTTTTGATCACAAACAGCATTGCATTGAAAATCCTTGCAATAAACTCATTCCTTTATTCACTTCATATTTATTGAGTGATTACTAGGTGTGGCAAAAACTAACAAAAAACAAAACAAACAATAACAAAAATATATTGTTCCTGCCAGAATTGGGACCAGGATGAGATGAGTGAGGCACCTCATTAGGCACAAAATTTCAGGAGGCACCAAAAAAATCGTAGTAATCAAGATAAATATTTTAAAGCAGTATTGGAAAAAATTAAAAATTCCATAATAAAATATGAAAAATTTAAACAAAGGAGAATCTGTGTTTAGCTTACAGTCTAGTTAAGATATTAAATTATTGCAAAATTACTATTATTACTATTCGCAAGTGATAATGAAGGAAAGCAACAGGGTATTACAAGAGAGGTTCTTTTGCTAATTTAGACTTAGATGTTAGAGACTTGACTGCCACACTTTGGGTTTCCCAAGGAACAGAATCTGAGATTAGCATGTAGGGGATTTGCTAGGGCTTGTGCTTGGGGTCAGCATCTGGGAGGGAAGGAAAAGGAGCAGGATGTAGCAGAATGAGAGGTCGAGCTGCAATGCTGTCTCAATGCAAGCCCAGGTGATCCTCTGGGGAGTTTGGGTGTGTGCGATGACTCCTCATCTACTAAGTTAGGACAGGAGGTCTGGGCTTTTAAGTCCTCACATCAATAAGTCACTTGGTATGGATTGCCCTTGGACTGGGGTGTTCCTTTGGACCGGGTGGCTCTCTTCAGTTAAGACGATTTCAGTTAAGGCTGTTCTACAGTGGACCGCCAGCTACTGTCTGCACTCCTGACAGCTGGGGTAATACAGCCCTCCTTCTCAAAGGGAAGCTTGAGTGACACAGTGGAGAGATGACAGCACCCACTACAGAAATTATTTCCCACAGGAAGTGAGGCCTGCAGAAGAAATAATAATATGAGATTCATTGGACAAATATTTGCAAAACTCCTGTTATATGGTAGGCACTGTTTTAAGTTCTGGGAAATGCAGCAGAGAGTGAAGTTTTTTTTTTAATTGAAGACTTATGAGGTGTCACATCCTGTGTTAAGCCCTGCACATGAATTAGTGGATTCTTTCATCCCAGTGAACTTGTAAACTAGGTCCTTTATTCCCATTTTACAGGTGAGAAAACTAAGGTCAGAGATTTTGAAGGATTCCCAGGGTCCCACAGCTAACAAGAGTTGGAAGTAGGACTTGAAGCTAAGTTTTCATACTACAGAGTCCTCAATTTAATATTGCTCTGTGATTGTGTGCATGATAGACTATTTCAGTATTACAGATTCCTAGAAGTACAATTGCTGGGTTAAAGTGCATACGCATTTTCAAATGCTGGTAATACTACCAAACTGATCTTCAAACAGCATCAATTTAGATGTTCACACAGGGTCTGTGGAAATGCCCATTTACTCACACACCTGCCAAGTGTGGATATTAGTAATTCTTTTAAAACTAATGGGTGAAAATGGAATGTAACTGTTACTTTAATTTGATTCCTCAGCTAATTAGTAAGGTTAAGCTTTTTTCATGTTTATTGGAAACTTTAAATGTTTTTTCCTGTGAATTGCCAATTTTTAAGTTTTGCACACTTTTATTGAGTTATCCTATTCTCAGTAGTTTATAGAAGTTCCTTACTTATATAAATGTTACAAATAAATAAATGTTACTCAGTGTCTTTCTTGTCTTTTAAATTCATCTATCCACCTTTCACTACCTAAGTTTTCATAAAAAATTAAGTAGTCAAAGCTGTCTGTCTTTCTTATAAGTTTTCTATTTTTTATGTCTTGCTTAGGAAAGCATTTTCTCCCACAAGAATATTAAAATTATTTTATATTTTCATATATAAAAATTCATGTTATATGAATTCATAATATAATTATTAATTATAAATATTTATAACATATTTTGTAAATATATATTTATATAAACATTATATATTTCATATTACACATTAATATATATGTATTAATTACCTATTAATATATATGTAATTCATAGTTAAATGATCTATTTGGAATTTATTTTCATGAATGATGTAGGA